TTCCAGTCTTTCTTCTTTCTATCTAGAAATCACTTTGGTTTACCATCAGGGACTGAGCAGGTCCAAGACCAGGTTTCTGTTCCTGTCCAGGCCAGTACTCTTTGTTTGAGGTGAAAGCCTTAAAACTTAGCTTCCCTGACCCCTAATTGGAAGCAATATGGAGTGAATAAGCATGTTTTTATTTAGGCAGGGTAGCTTGGGATACCTTAAAATATATATATATATATATAAATATATAAATGTCTGGCCAGTTAGAATCAGACTAGGCAATTTGCATCTAAAAATTACTTTCAGTGAGTCCCAGGGACTAATTAAGGTTTATTTAAAAAAAAAAAAAAAAAATTAAAAAAATAGCGTCCACCTTGGTACGCAGCCACCTCCTGCATGCTATGCATGTTATCGGGACTCGTATTACAGGAAATGGCATGTGGGAGTCCACTGCTGGCATTCTCCTTGCCATATCTGGTCTTCACCACTAGGCCTAGCAACCCTCCTCCCACTCCCTGCCACCTTCCCTGCACCCTTGGTTCACAGAGGCAAATGGGCCTCAGAATATAAAATCCTAGGCTGTAAAAGGAGTCCTCTCCTCACTGCCTGCTCTTTACTGTCTCTTGAAATTCTTTTCCTCCATCAGTGATGCTGGGAAACTCATAGGACAGACAAAGCAACTATTTAAAACCTTGTACTGGGGCCTCGCTCCTCTTCATCTCCTCCCCTCCCCTCCCCTCTTCACTTGCATTCTGTGACTCCTCTTCCCTCAGTGTCCCTATCATTGTGAACTTGCTGGTGCACAGGAACATCTGCTTTCATCTTTTTTTTTTGACCATGGCCACCCAACTGTTTCTTAAACCTCCCTTCCAAAATTAAAAAAAAAAAAAAAAAAGCCTCATTGGCCTGGTTGTTCAAAGGATAAGACTAGCTTTGCTGTACACTCAGTACTCAAACCCACTTCAGTACCCTTACTGAGGCCATGAGAGCTGGAGGGGTATCTGCCCAGAAGGCAGCCATGGCATGTAGGAAAGACCAAATAGGGACCAGAAAAAAGGGGTGATGGTCCCTTTCCCTGCCATCTCCCCCAGCCTCTGTCAGTAATGCGCTGCCTTGAGTAGGGGCAGGCCCCTTCCAGTCTACACAGTAGCTGCTTGGTGGGTGTAGTGCTGGGGGCTGGTGGGGATGGGGGTGGCATGCCCAGATGTGTCAGCTCAAAGGATCTCCACCCCGTTGAAGTGGGAAGCAGGGAAAGGAACACCAAGGTGGTTTTTTTTTGCCCCCTCCCTCAACCTTTTACAAATGGCAATTTGTTAATGGAAATCTGGGAAGCAGGTGTGATTGATTTTTTGCTGGTAGATATTATCCTAAATTGAAGATCTCCCATTGCCCTGACCTTTCCTGGTAACCCTTTAGCTCCTCCCCTTTTGGTAGCTGTTTTTTTCTGCCCCTACACCTCCCCTCTTATCTAGGAGCTGTTTTTAAGCACGATTTTTTTTTAAACAGTTTATTTTGTACAGGATCAATATTTTGCTTTTTAACAAGGATATTTATGTAATAAGAAACTTTGCCTTAGGCAGGTGTTGGCCAGAAAAGTCCAGATTCCTCTGGGACCCCACCCTGGCCTCTCCTGGAGCTCTGAACCTGCTGTGGAAGGACTTGGCCATGACCTTCACCACTGGAGGAGGGTCTGGGGAGAGGGCAAGGGCGGCACTGGTCCTGATGGCGGAAGGACTCGCTATGATCACCTAGTGCCTCTGCGAAGGGGTTGGGAGGAAATAGCCCACTCTAGTTCTTCAGGTGTCAGCCGATTTTCTTAGCTGATTGTCCTCACACTGCCTCCAGCTCTGAATATTCCGCACTAGAACTCATGAAACCACTTTTCATGCCCGTCCCTTCCAGTGGTCAAGGCTCTGGAGCCACTCCTTCGTAACGCCAGATTATTTAAAGAGAGTGAAATACAAGACAAAAACCTTCTAGCACTTTGTAAACACAGTGAATAACCTCTTGGAGTATTTTTGGCTTTATATAAAACAAGGTTTTTATTGTAAAATATAAGTGCCATTAGAAAAATGCACAAGGCGTATCTTTGTTAAAGTAGATTTTTCAATGTTTTACAGAATTACATTTTCCAAAAAAAAAAAAAATTTATAATGAAGTTGTTTATTAAAAACTTCTGAATGATGTGTTTGGAAGTTGTGAACCTTTCTGATGGGGAAGGGTTGGAGAGAGATGGGAAGACTTGGAATGTCCAGACATCCTCAGTGTCCACAGGATTGGCGAGTGTAGGGCAGACGGTAGCAACTCCTCCGTTAGCATCTTCTGCAAACTGTACTTTTAAATGAAAATAACTCAGTTGGCTGTCTTTGATGTAGGTGGCATCATTTTATCAGTTAATCATCTTTTGGATGCAAGGGTCAGAAAACCCAAATCAAATAAGCTTAAATAGTGAGCTTTTGTGTAACTGAAAATGCCCAGTGGTAGAGTCAGCGGTCTCTAAGATTGATCCAGCAGCTCAAACGTGGCTGGTCTCAGCATCCCTTTTTCCCTCTGGCCTGTTGTGCGCAGCTGTGACTTTAACCTCAGGCCCTACAGAGTGGCTTCCCCCTGAGTGCTGCCAGATTCCAGATTGCTCATTCTCACACAGTGCTCTCCAGGAGGAGAAAGGATCCCATCCAGGCTGTGGGAGAAGAGTCCTTTTGTTCACAGAAGCCCCAGTAAACATCTGTTCCATTGGCCCTGATGGAGTTCTGTACCATTCTAGAACCTGTCCCTATATCCAGTGATGACAAGACTAAGGGGAGGGGAGAAGTGATTTTCCAAAGGAAATTCCGGGTACTGTTAAGATGAGTGGATGTCCATTGTCCAAAAAAAGACAAAGGTCTACCATAGTCACCTACTGCCTAAGAGCTACAGCTGGTAAGTGGCAAAGTTAGGACTTACCTTGCCCACACTTGTGTCCAACCATTAGGTTCAAGCAGACTGTTGAGAGGCTGACAAGGCTTCACCTGATGGCATTGCTAGGTTAGACCTGAACATAGGTATTCATCACCATCCTGGGCCCTGTCCCTTGTGCTGAGATCCTCTCAGCCAGGGCACAGAATGAACTGGCTTTTCTGCGGTCTGGAACAAGTTACAGAGCCAGAGCTATAGAGTCAAACTGCCATTCACTCCCAGAGTCCAACTGAACTGCCAGTGGGGCATCAACAAGCTATCAGTGTGCTGGCATTTTGTGCAATACAAATGATAAATGAAAAATGGAGAAAAGATGGGAGTTGTCAGGGATTTCATATTACTTGGATCCACAATCAATGCCTATGGAAGCAGCAGTCAATAAATCAGACATCATGTTGCATTGAGCACATCTGCTGCAAGATCTCTTTAAAGTGTTTAGGAGCAAAGATGTCACTTTGAAGACTAAGGTGCAACTGACCCAAGCCATTGTCTTTTCAATAGTCTCATATGCATGTGAAAGCTGGACAATGAATAAGACATAAGAAGAATGGATGCATTTGAATTGTGTTGGGAAAGAATGCTGAAAATACCATGGACTGCCTAAAGAATGAATAAATCTGTCTTGGAAGAAGTATAGCCCGAATGCTCCTTAGAAGCAAGAATGGCCAGACTTTGTTTCACCTACTTTGGTCATGCTGTCAGAAGGAACCAGTCCCTGGAGAAGGATATCATGCTTCATGCTTGATAGAGGGTCAGCAAAAGGGAAGACCCTCAACAAGATGGATTGAGACAGTGGCTGCAATGATGGGCTCAAGCCCAGCAAGGACCGGGAAGATGGTGCAGGACCTGGCAGTGTTTTGTTCTGTTGTCCACAGGGTTGCTATATGAGTCAGAACCAATTCAATGGCAAGGTAGCAATTTTGTGTAAAAGGTAATGGACTGGTCCTTCATCTCTTTGGCCTTCCATTATACTTGACAAACATTAGCTGTCCACCTCGGGACAGTTAGGGAAATCCCACTAGAGAAGGGGATTTATATCCCAGGAGAGGTCTGGGAGGCTCAAATAAGGGAACTGCCTTATCCATTGGGTGAGAGAAGGTGGGGTGCTTTCTGGAGGAGACTCAGAGACTTCCAGGCAGAGATGGGGCCATTGGGAGCACCTACACCCCCACTGCACCCACAAGCGTGGGAGCTGAGACCACAGTAGTGCTGCTGTGTTTGCAGGGTCAGGGCTGCAGGGGCTGACCCACCCAGGGTTTCAGCTTCTTCAAGCACAGACCCTGAACTCTCGAGTCGGCTGGCACAGAGCAATAGCTCCTGAGCCTAGTACTACGTGTAAAGCAAGACCCGTCTTCTTTCAGCATCCAGCTGGCAAAGATCCAGTCACATAAGAGAAACCAGGCAGACACCCACTTGCTCCCTGGTTTGTAACCTTTTAAGTCCTTCCTTGCCCCAGACCTTTTTCAGTCTGACCAACCATTATCTGTGGCTTCCAGTTTGAGTCCGGGCAGTCTTTGGGATAGTTACCCCCTTGAGCCCTCTGCGTCCATCTGAGTAACTTATCCTGTGCAAGGAGCAAGTGTCCTACAGCCACAGTCAAATATGGAAGCCTAGCGAATCCCACCCGCCCACTCTGATCTGCGGAACAGAAATCACTTGGAGCGGTGGCTTTCCTAGGATAGTTCTATCTGTGCACGAGCGGGCCTTAGGTTTTTTCCTTGGTACCTGTCCAAGCTGCCCCTTGCTCGGTTCATCCCTTCACTTCTCTCTCAGGGGCCAGCATTCTACTAGTCCGGTGCCAGTTCTGCCCGGCGCCGGCGCTCGCCTCCCCCACAGGAAGCCCCCTATCCCTCCACTAGTCCTCCAGGCCCCTAGCCCGTCGCAGCAAGAAGGACCCTTTGCAGATCACATCCGGAAAAGGGGGCGTAAGGGGCGGAGCGCCACCGGAGGAGGAGACCGCGCCTCCCTGCCTCCTGCCCGCAGTACCGCTGCCCCCTTCCCCAGAGCCTGCAGGGTCGCCCGCGCGCCTGAACCCCAGGCTAGGAGTCCCGCAGGTGATGGCGGACGCGAGTGCGACGGGCCTGCAAGCCGCCGCATGCCCGCCGCCCGGCGCAGCGCAGGAGCGGGGTGGGAATCCAGCCCCTGAGGCCCAGGCCCAAGATGCAGGGGCGCGCGGGCGCCTCAGCCCCGCCGCGGACCCTGGGAGCGCTCCAGCTGCCCCTGGGCGCCAAGAAGTGGCCCCCTCGGTCACTGGCGGGATCCCGGAAAATGGCTCGGACAAGGACGAGGACGAGGCCCCAGAAACCTGTGGCGCAGAGGGGTGGGAGGCTCGGGCGGGAGCCAGGAGGAAGACCGAGGAAGTGACGACTGAGCAGGGCGCCATCTTGATGGAGGAGGTGGAGAAGCAGCAGGTGGGGGAGGAGAAGATGGAGGTGGGGGAGGAGAAGGAGGTGTTGGAGAATCTGGGGGCAGAGGAGAAGATGGAGGTGGTAGCAGAGGAGCAGGCGGTCCTGGGGCGCCTGAACCTTGATGGCCCAGTCGTGAACCCACTGGAGGCCGTGGGGGCCGAGGCCGACAGGGCCTACATCTGGCTTGAGCGCAGCTTCGGGCGGATGCGCAGGTTGCAGCTAGCCAGGAGGAGCTTCATTATACAGAACATTCCAGGCTTCTGGGTCACGGCCTTCCTGAACCACCCGCAGTTGTCAGCCATGATCAGCCCTCGAGATGAAGACATGCTTGGCTACCTGATGAATTTGGAGGTGAGAGAGCTGAGGCATGCCAGGACTGGCTACAAGTTCAAGTTCCGGTTTTGGAGCAACCCCTACTTCCGGAACAAAGTCATTGTGAAGGAGTATGAATGCAGATCCTCGGGCCGAGTGGTGTCTATTGCCACTCGGATCCGGTGGCACCGGGGCCAGGAACCCCCAGCCCTGGTACACAGGAACCGGGACACCGTCCACAGCTTCTTCAGCTGGTTCTCACAGCACAGCCTCCCGGAGGCAGACAGGGTTGCCCAGATCATTAAAGAGGACCTGTGGCGTAATCCGCTGCAATACTACCTGCTTGGGGATAGGCTGTGCAGAGCCAGGGGCGTAGCTCAGTGGCCCGCTGACATCCCTCCTAGGCCTTATGGGTTCCAGTCTGGCTAAATCCTGCCGTGGGACATGTTCCCTCCATAACACTTCCTTCAGTCTCTTGTGAACCTGTGCTTCAGCTGGTGAGGGACCCTATGCCATCTGCGTTCTCTTCTGTGCACTCTGGCTCCTCTGGGCGTTAAGTGTGCTCAGCTCCAAGACTCTGGCCTTCATGTTTCCATGGGGTCTTTTGTTTCAACATCATGTGGCCATCACATGCCACTGCTTCTATGCCATCACCCAGTGCTGTGGAAGGACATGTCATCAGCTTCATGGCCTGGACCTAACGGTGGCCGTGGCCTTCCCATCCGCTTTTGACACGGGCACCTATTCATTGTTAGGATGACCAGTGCATCGTCGGAGTGTACTACTTCAAGACCTCAACACACTGGGCTTTCTGTCATGTTGGCTGTGCTCAGGGTGGCCTCCCTGAGTCTCATCACCCAAGATGAATGAAGCAGGTGCATTTGCTGTTGGCTGCCCACCACAACTGGACGTTCCGTGGCCTGAACACCATGGGCCAGGCTTCCACCAGCTGGGCTGTTGGGCATCCGGCAGAGGGGACATGGAGCTGCACATGGCTCCTGAGCATGGATGAGGCCAAGGGCAGGAAGCAGCAAGCAGTGCATCTTCATGATCACGCCGCTCTTTCTACTGTGTGTTTGTCTTACGTTGTTGCCTGCTAGCAGCTGTGAAGGTCAGATTTTGCCCACGCTGCCATCAACCCCGCATCTGATCCCTGGTCTATAAGGACGTTATTAACTTCCTGTAGGCCCAGGTGGGCCACCTGCCAGTGCACAGAAACCCAGCTCCCAAGAACTCCTCCAAGCTGGTTTATCTGGGCATGTGCTTGAGGCGGAGACAGAAGTCTCCCTTTCTGGGCCCCAGTCACTGGGCCCATTCAGGAGCCAGGCCCTCTGCCTCAATGTTTTCCACCTGTCAGGCTGGGGATGCTGGGAAGGGGTGTTTCTGGTTATAAGGCCTGTCTGCGCCTGCCTGGAAAATGAACAACTGAAGCAGCAAGGTTTCTATGAACAGCTAATGACACAGGCTTTGCTGCATTTTCCTCTGTCTCCAGAGAGGGAGAGGTTGTCCTATAAAGTGTGTTGACAGTGTTTCCTTTGTCCCCTCGACTCCTTTAACAAAGTCTAGAACCTTCAGAAGGAGCTTTGGTGGTGTAGTAGGTTAGGCATTTGGCTGTTAACCAGAAAGTCAGCAGTTCAAACCTACCAGCTGCTCCACGGGAGAAAGATGGGGCAGTCTACTTCTGTAAAGATTTACAGCCTCAGAAACCCAATGGGGGTCAGTCTGAGTCAAAATCAACTTAAGGGCAGTGAGTTTTCGTTTGAGAGAACCTTCAAGGAGGACTGGGCAGGGCTAAAGGACAGAGACAGGAGCTCCAAGCCCCTCCCCCTGGGGGGGGGCAGGGAGAGTTCATTGTTTTCTTTTATGCTTTGTTTTGAGACTTAATTTATGCTCCAACTCCATGTTCTTCTCCCTCCCTTCCAGCCCTCCCAGCCCCCATATGCTTACGGGGCTGTTGTGCCTGTCTCATTTCTGGGGGACTGGTGACAATATCTTGGTCCTTTCCATGGACCTGGGGAGACTTTAGCCCAGTGACGGGGAAGGCACTCTAGACAGGGAAGGGGCAACAGAAGCCAGAGGGAGCTGGAAAGGCAGGGATGGCAGAGAACCATAGGGGTGGAGAGAGGAGAGCCCTGGAGTTTTCCTACCTCGTGATTCACCAGTAGGTTTGTAAATTAGAAAAACCACTAACAGACAGTGTAACTTTAAAGGTTCTCTTCCTCTCCCTCCCTCTCTCCTATGTGGCAACTGAATGATTTTTATTTCTGTTCTCACTTTCCCATTTTTTTTTCCCTTGGAGAAGTTGGGCTGCACAGGCCTGCTTGTTGCTTTTAGTTGTGAACATTTACAAGAACATCAGTGTAATTTTTCTGTGCTTTGGAAAATTGTTTGGAAACGATTCACCATTGTTAACTAAGATGCTATGGCCTGTTATTACTACCCGTACTTAGAAGTGGAGTTTGAAGAAGATGGTTTTGTAGGACTTAAGACTGTGAATTGTTACCATGTTTTGTGAGAAAACCTCCCAAAAGAAGTCTAACTCCAGATGGTCTGGTTGATTCAATCATGGCTGGCCATGTTGTGATGACGTTAACCATGACTGACATCTCTGCTGCTAAACAGAAATATTTGTGAGGTGGCTTTATCCAATCAGAAGTGGATTGGTGGACTTAGTTCTTCTCTGTGCATGATTAAAAAATAAAAACCTTTAAATCTGGGGGGAAAATAATTTGGATCATGTTCTTGTCCTGTCTAAAAACCCTTCACTGTTAAAAAAAAAAAAAAAAAAACCCTAATTTCTTATCAGGGCCGCAGAGCCCTGCATTTTGCATCCTGTCAGCTTCTCGCAGGCCTCTCTGCTAGCACATTCCAGCCTCCAAGGTGTTGTACTTGCTTTTCCCGCTTTCTGAAATTTTCTTCCTCCAGATACCCTCATCTCTGCCTCCCCCATTTATTCAGGCCCCAGTTCAGAGGGCTCCTCCACCTCGCCTGCCTGGAATAACCCTCCAGCCCCTTCCATCTCCCGTTCCCATCATGATTTCTCCTATCACTGGCTGCTCTCTGAAATGATCTTGTTTTCCCATCTGTCTGCTGCTTTGCCCCACGTTAAGTGTCCAGCACCTCATTTATTTATTTATTTTCACTTTTACTGTGGTGAACACATACACACTAAGACATTCACCAACCAACATAACAACTCCCATGTTTATAGCTCTAGGGACATTGATGACATTTTTCATTATTACTATCCTTTTCCAAAATACTCCACGACCATTAGCATAAACTCAATGCCTTGCAAACAAAAGCTTCCTTCCCCTTTGCCCCCCCTCTCCTACCCCTGGTAACCACTAATAATCTTTGGTTCATATGTGTGTGTGTGTGTGTGTGTGTGTGTATATAATTTTCTTTAACCTATCTAGGAATTCCACCCCCGCCCCCACCCCTGGTAACCAACAAAGAAAGTTTCCTTCCATATATAACCTTTCCTTGACTTACTACAATAGTGGACTAATACAATATTTGTCCCAAAGAACAAAGGGTTATTCTTGCCCAAAGGCTTTCAGTTGGGTGGAGAAGGGTGGAGGGTGATGAAGAGTGACCATTAACTTATCATCTAGCTGGAACACATCTGGGAAAGAAAAGGGGGTACTACTAATAGTTACACCAAGACAAGCAGCCTGAACTGGTAATGGTCACTCTCAGAAGACAGGACCCGACTAGGTCCAGCTTGGCATTCAGCTCACCCCAGCTGAATGTGCTATGGGATCAGAGACTTCTCTGAAGACGGGGCACTGGAGTTGGCCTTTGAGGACTGGGCAGTCGTTGAGAAAGTAGGATTGGAGAACTGAATTCTTGGCACAGCAAACATGAGAAAGTGACCAGGGAATGAAACTGCAGGATGTGTTCAGGGCACATAGCACGTGCCCTGAGTGTGGCTGTTTGGGGAAGGCAGGGCTGGTGGGTTGTTTGAGACCCGTTTCTACGAATAACAACTTGATGCCAAGCCACTGGCTGTGGACAGTGGGGAGGGGTACAGGTATGATTGAGAGGAGTGGGGAGCTCACAGGGCTGCTAGAGGCAAGGGGAGGTAAGTGTTTACAACTCCAGATCTCTAGTGTCTTCTGTTTGAGCCTTAATCCATCCGTCCAGGCTGCAGCTCCTCCAGGAAGCCCTCCATGACTGACCAGGCCACAACCACCTCTACCACTACCCAATACAATCCAGAGCCAGCGTTTTGGGCACTCCCGCCTGGCCAGGCTCCACCTTCTGGGTTTCTCTTTTGTTGCCAAGCACCTGTCCCTGACACTCCCCTGGGAATCAAAGTGAATCTCTAAGCAACTGGCGATCCTGGAAGTTGGTGTATGCATGGTTTGACTGCCCTGTACCTGGTGGTTGGCAGGTGCGTGTTGGCCCTAGCAGCCCAAATTTGAGCCCAAAGGCACCCTGCACCTCCTCAGGCCCTGGACAACGGTGCTTACCTCAACAGGCACTTACCTGCTGTCTCTGCTGCATGGCACCTTCCATCACACCCAGTGAGGGGAATGTTCCAGCTGCCCATCTAGGGAGGAGGAGCCAACTCCTGTGGCTTACTTGAGCATGCCTGCATTTACTCACTTGTATATTCACACAGGGAGCTCTGGTAGTGTAGTGCCTAAGGCACTTCACTGCTAACCAGAAGGCTGGCGGTTCAAATCCACCAGCCACTCCTCAGAAGGAAGATGGGGCAATCTACTTCTGTAG